TTTTTAACGAGGCAGCATAACACATTTAATAGTGGTAATTCCAAGGGGGAGTGTTGTAACAAGTGGAATCTTACCACTAACAATTTTATTAGATTATCTTATATGTATAGAAAGATGTGCCCATTTGCCTATAAAAGAAGGCCAAACCATTGTAATGTTTGAACATACGAAAGTGAAGAAGAAAGAAAGCATTCTGAAATTTATCCGGTTTTTACATTGTGCTCTTTATATTCCCCGCATTTTATAACATACTTCAAATATTTGCAATACATAATATAATCATTTAAACAAGCAAAACCATTACATGTATAAGCTTAACACGTATAGTGATTGGTATATTAGAAACTTGAATGTTTTTATGTTTGCTCAATTTTATTTTTTCACAAATGTTTAAAATATTAAGCTTGACATTGTAAAATTTCTAAATGTTTTGATTTTAAATTCAACTTTATCAATTTAATTAATGTTTATACCTTATCTAATTTGTCTGCGGTAACACTGTCATTCCAAACACCGCCAGTCCCTGAAAGTTTGCGTTCAATGATTCACTTTTCAATGGTCGAGTGAAAATTCGCTGAAAAGCATTTTTGCTACTCTTCTTTCCTCTAATATTTTTTGTCGGCCTGAGTTTCTGTGTCACGCATCTGGCCTTACCTATCGGTATATAATCATCGGAGAATTTTACAGCACCCGAATAAACGAATCAATTATGGTTAGATACTTTTGATTTTTCCCTTTTCTCTTATGTCTTTATATTTATAGACTTTTTGTATTGTTGTTACAGAATTGGTGTTGAGCAATGATGAAGTAAATAATCTGGCATTGACGGATGTTGAAAAAGTTTGCATAGATGTGGTACGAGTTTACGCATATACAGTACAATGTTTTCTAATAGTGGCTTGCAATCATTGGCGATGGTACAGTCGGTGGATCGAACGACTGTTATGCCGATATCGACAACCCCGACGATATTCTTCTACACTCAAAAAGGGATCTTCTTGCTACTATTGTTTAGAGTACCTACTCTAGGTCTAGAAGTTCAGACACCCCTTGCAAGTCAGACATTGGATATGACTCTCTTCAAAATCTTCATACTCCTGAATTTCTCAATGAGATTAAGATCTCATGAAGACTTTCGAATCGTATATTGCGCTTGAAGGTCGGCACTTTCAAGTTTCAACGCAGACAGTTCCTGCTCATGGTTTTCTATGATATGAAAATCAATAAGAGTCAAGGGCATGTCCTATGTCAGCCTACTATTTAAGAGCCCTGTATTTAGTCATGTGGAATTGTACATGGCGTTTTCATGAGTTACGAGTCAGAGGAGTTTGAAGATAATGATTTGTAGTGGTGGAAATTCTGATGATAGGAAAAGTACGAAGTTTGTATATAATAAAGTGTTTAATAATATTTAGATTTATTTCTTAAAACTTATTTTGTTTCCAAATTATTATGTTATAATTTGGGAACCAAATTATTATTAGTTTTAATAACATTGGGAACCAATTTTTTATAGACTAAGTTTTAAATAGGCCCAAAACATTGTGGGTGCTGAATACCTGGAATATTGATAAGGAAATTAAAAAAAAAAAATGGAAGTTACAACCACTAAATCGAAATTCCCAATCTTTCCAATTGGCTGGATTATTGATTCTATTGAGAAGTGAAAATAGCGGAAATAAAGGAGTCTCCAAAAATATCAAAAGACTACCATAAATGATTAGCAATTGAATTTAAGTCTCGAATTTGACTAGGTCGAATTTTCCAAGTATTCGGGCCGGATTTTACTCATCAAAGGGCCGAAATAAAAAATAAAAAAATAATAAAAAAAATTGGGAAAAAAATTAACATCCAAGGGTCGAAAAATACGTTAAAATGGGCCAAGTTCAAAGTTTGAGAATTAATTTAAGAAGCTCGAAAACAATAATACGCGATTTCTCCGATAAGAAAAAGAAAATTCAAACATTTTTGAATGATGACCACGATAGAAATTTGTGGAAATAATTTAATTAGACGAGGACATCTACAAAAATTGCTCGACTTGTTAAAATAAATAGACGAGGATATGTAGATAATCATAATAGGTTTATTCGATATATTTGTCGATCAATTCGAATAAAGCAAATAATAAAATAAAATACAACTATTTTTCCAAACCGAATGTGGGACTACATGGGGTGTGGTGTGTGTGGGTCCACTATTTTTTGGTGTCGTCAATTATAAGATTATCCTTGATGAAGGTATAATTATGCCCTCTTTTTTAGTCATTAGATCATCCGATCTAATGGTTACGATTCATTCTTATTTTTTACGAGGAGCATCATTCTTGCTAGAGCGACCATATATATATATAACATGTTGGGACGGCGTGGGTCGGGATTTGTTATGTGGAAGTAGCCTGCTTAGTTATTGGGCCGGACCGACCTGACCCATTTTAGAAACAAGGCAAGTTTGCCCTGCCTTGCTCCGAGTCGGGCCGTGCTAAGTTTAGGTCGTTTTCTCATCCATAGAAGTAGAGAATGGTATCTTCTTCCTTCATCTCGTAACAAATGAAGAAACACCGTCGTTTGTTTTAATTACATGAGCCAAAACAATGTCGTTTTAGCAAAACAAAACGATAAAAAAATGAATACTATTGTAGGATATTTCTAGTAAATGCACAAGTGTTATTTATCAGCATGTAAAAACCTTTTTTTATATATATATGTATATAGGGTTGCTTATTTGATCGAAATCGAAACGAATCGACCGAATTTTCGGCTAATAAAAAATTCAGGCAGTCCATTATAATAACCGAAAACAGAACTAAAATTTACGGTTCGGTATGGTTTTTAACCAATAATTCATCGGTCGGTTCGGTTCCGTTAATCACAATAAATAACTAATCTTCTCAATAAATTATGAATTTTTAACCGAATAAAAATTTTGTTATCCGAACAAAAAGAAATTGATTTTTTATCAACTTGATTAATCTTTTCAATAAATTCTAAATTCTCTTCAAAAGAAGATTTCGGACACGAACATCTGACGTCCTTATTGTCTGACTAACCTGCCGATTAACTCGATCCGATCGAACTGCTTTTAGGTCGTACACGGCCTAATTATGCTGGTATAGTATCCCATGTGTCAACATGTCTATATATATCCACGTACTCCAATTACTTAACCAACTAAAGAGTTAAATTGTCAAAATGACAAGATCATGTATCACGTATGTTATTCATTTCCGCACCTTCTTCACCTAATCCAGTTGTCGCGTCCCAAAACTCTCAAATTAGCTGGCCTCTATTTCCGCTATAGATAAATAATAAACTAATTAATTTGCTCACAAGTCGAAGCGTTACAGAAAAATAGAATAACAATCTACCAACCTCAAGAAACAGATGTGCCCAAAGAACCAAGACATATTAGATGACTCTTGTCATTCAGAACTCTCCTTCCTTTTTACAAGGGCTTCCCCAAATATTCCACAACAAACTATAATTATATTAGAAAACCACACACTGTCCTAAAAATTATATATTTATGGAATGTATGGACAAACAGTGCGTTGTGCACAAGTATATAAACCCCGAATGTGACCTCCACGGAGCATAAAATCATAACTATAGCTTCATCGTCCAACCTAAAAAATAAAACAAAATTACGAAAAACCATGAAGGTGAAAATAACGAGCTCAAGGATCGTGAAGCCTTCATATGATGCAAAAGCTCCTCTCACATCCGCCCACGTGCCATTATCCATCTTCGACAAGGTCACCTACGACCAACATGTTGCAGTTATCTACGCCTACCGCCCCCCGACCCCACCAAACTCAATCATCGAGCATGGGCTGAAAAGGGTATTGGCCGTGTACCGTGACTGGGCCGGGAGACTCGGTAAGGACCCCAATGGCGAGCCTGTTATTCTTCTCAACGATGAGGGGGTTCGGTTCGTGGAGGCATCGGTTGACCGTGCTCTAGACGAGACTGTGAATTCCGGGCCCACGGCATCCCTTTTGAGCCTTCACCCGGCCCTGGAGGGCATTGTGGAGCTCGTCCAGGTCCAGGTCACAAGGTTCTCGTGCGGGTCCATGGTGGTAGGCTTCACAGCACACCACCTCGTGGCCGATGGGCACGCCACCAGCAACTTTCTAGTCGCGTGGGGTCGTGCATGTCGCGGGCTTGGGATCACCCCAGTGCCGTTCCACGGCCGCACGACGTTCTCCCCTCGAAGCCCTCCGGAGATCAGTTACGAACACAAAGGGGTAGAGTACGTAGCTAAAAACTTCAAGAAGGCGTACCCATTGATTAATAACAGTACTGTTGATGATATCGTGGCACACAGAGTGCACTATAGTGCCAAGTTTCTTTCCAAGCTCAAGGCCAGGGCCTCTTCGGCAAACGGAATGGGTAAAAGGCCCTTTAGCACGTTCGAGAGCCTCGTGGCCCATCTTTGGAGAGCGATAACTAGGGCACGCGGCTTGTGCGGAGCGGAAACCACCCAGGTTAGGGTTTCGGTTGATGGCCGTGCCCGGTTGAACCCAAGGGTGCCAGATGAGTATTTCGGAAATTTGGTACTGTGGGCGTTCGCAAGAGCCAAGGTTGAGGATCTTCTGAGGGAGCCTCTTTCGTATGCGGCTAGGGTTTTGCACGAGGCCGTTGGTAAAGTGAACGACAGGTATTTCAAGTCGTTCATCGACTTTACGAATCACAATGTGAGAAAGGAGGATCTCGTGCCCAATGCAGAGTCCGACATGAATGAGTCGATATTATGGCCGAATTTGGAGGTTGATAGCTGGCTGGGGTTCCCGTTTTACGATCTGGATTTTGGGTGCGGGGGCCCATTTGTTTTCATGCCCTCCTTCTCTCCAACTGAGGGGATGATTTTTCTTCTCCCGTCCTTTAATAGAGATGGAAGCATCGACGTTTTCGTACCTCTGTTTCGGGAGAATTTGGAGGCTTTCAAACAAATCTGCTATTCTATGGAGTAGTGTACAACTACCTCTTTTATTAATATATATTTAAAATTCTGCCGAATTGAGGCTTTAGAAACATGATTAAACTCTTCTGCGTTATTTTTACCGATTAAAACTATAATATTTAATAAAAAACAAATTTACTCGAACACGCATTACAAAAGATTTGTCATTGTATGCCATTGCAAAGTAAAAATTTATTATAAAGATTGACTGTTTTGTTATTCACCTTTCTTTTTATTATTTTTTTATTATTTTCCAATTCTGTTTTCGTATGGGGATGTAATAACTAGAATACGTAATATTAGCCATTATCTTTACGAATTGGCAATATTAGCTAACAACTTTCAAATTTTCGGGTTTACTATCAATGTTTGACCAAATTCGATGGCTATTAGTGCCACTGTGTGAAAAGATATTGACTATATTTTACGATTTAACTGTCATATTTGGTTGGATTTGGGTAATAATCTCGAAATTTTGAAAGTTGTTAACTATTATTGCTAATTCGTAAAGACGGTGGTTATTCATGTCACCGCGTACAAGATACTGGCTATATTTTGCAATTTAGCCTAACTAGAATAAAGATGATACTATTGACATTCATTCGTGTACACTGGATGGGGAATCATGATCAGACTCGTTCATGCATCATGCATGTATAATGAACTAAATACATCATGTTAGATCTATTTTGAGATTAAATATGTGTAATTGATACATTAGGTCATTATTTTGTTTAGCCAAATCAAGTTATCAAATTATTGTACATTGGCTAAGAAAGTTAATATAGATTGTAGAATTATTAAATGTGGACACCCCCAGTAACATTATTATTTGGTAACGTAACAAATAATAGCATTAAACTTAAGAACTTAATTATTAAATAAGTTGAGTCAAAATTATTTATAAGTAGAGTCCCAATTAAAAGCCATGATAAATACAAAGGGACTCTAGTAATTCTTTATAAAGAAACAAAAGAAACGGTTTGGGGTCCCATAAGGCTTTTCATCAATTCAGAAGAAGAGAATACGGTCAGCATCTTTTGGAAGTTCTCTAGAATCCCAAAATCTCAAATTGAGTTCCAGTGCAATCAATCAACATGAATCCATCAGGTATGCTTCCGCTCTTCGATTTGATTCTCGATTATTCAATATGCACGCTCTTGGGATTAAGCAGTTCAATCGCATATGGTTAAATCCAATTCTATCGATTGGTATCAGAGGCTCTTCATATTTGATTTTGGGGAATCAAATTTTTTTCGAAAATTAATTTATCCGAGATTGTTCAGATTGTTGTTTCAGATTTGTGATTGCTGAGTGTATATGGAATTATATGAATTCAGTTTGTATAAATTTCTTGAACTCACAGACATGCGTAATTATTTTTGGTTCGTATGTGAATCATTTTTTTTTGGGCGAATTTGAATTAGTCCGAATCTGAATGAGTATATATGAGTCGTATCCTTCAATTTCATTGGGTACGTTATTAGATTGATACAAAATTTGTGAAGCGAAAATGGGATAGTGCTAGATCTAGCGCAGCGTTCACCTTCTCCCCTAAACCCAAAAAACCCCTCTGCAAACAAAGTTCAAATTTGTAAGTTTCGCTGCCCCTTCTTCACCAGCACCCTGCAAGCGTGTCGTCGAGGCTGGCTTCCATCGAGTCGAGGCTGGTGGACCTTCTTCCTGCTGTTTCCGTGGCCTCATGGGTGTATGGCTCGAATTGGTGCCTACAGATCTGCCATCTCCTTGGCCATGGAAAGGTTGTTGGTTGTCCGCGTCAGGCCCCAGTCCCTGGAGTCCATCGGGTTGTTGGTGCGTCGGGGTTCGGGTACTCTTTGTGTGGTGTTCAAGGGTGCGGCTTGGCTATGCGATTGAACCATTTTCAAGCTCTTCAGCGTGATTTTGACAACTTAGGGGCGACTCCCCTTCTCACCTAGCGTGGATAGTTTTTCGGAGTCTAGATTTAAATCGAGAGCACACTCTTCATCAGATCCGACTAGGCGGCACGAGGGCGCAGTTTTCGGGCTTGAAGTTTGGTTTGCGGCTTTGTTAGATCTCTATGCTAGTGGTAGTGACTCGTGTGCGGTCTCGGGTTGCCGAGAGTTAGGTCTGTTAGGTGTAAGGGAGATCCTAGTTTATTTGTTAATTAGGTGTGTGTTTTTTTTGTTATTTCTACTCTTCTTTTACTATGTGTGAGTTGTTTTTTCTTTCTTTGTGTTTTTAGTTCGTTAAGTCCAACTGTGTCTGGCATCTAGTCTCCGTAATGGAGTTTTAGTTTCCTATCTGGAATTAGGTTTTTGTGTGCGGTTATCTCCTCGATGGAGTTTGTACCTCTTGGACTCATGTTTTTGTTCAAGGGAGTAGGTCCAGGTTTTCTGGTTCCTGTTGTGTCCGTTGGCACTCCTTTTGCACTCTTTTTTGTGTTTTTCAGTTTTAATATAATTATCGTATGAAAAAAAAGAATCCTTCAGTTTCATTGGCTTGATTTTGTGTTGGGGCCACAGACGGATTTGTATGGGGGCAAGGGGTGCCCGTGGGCCCACCTATTTTTTTGAAAAAATTGAATACATATATATAAAGAATAAACTATATAAAGAAAATACTTTAAAATATAAAAAATATAAAAAATACTTATAAAATATTAATCATTAAAATTTATTTTCTATGCTACTTTAATTTAAATTAATAATATTATTTATTTATTATTAAATGTACTAAGAAAATTTATATTTTATATTTCTAAATAAATTTTTGAAAAATATTAGTAATAATTAATTCTTTTGGTCTCTTAATTGTAAATCGATTTAGTGATTTGTAAAACCAAACATGTAGTTAGATTGTTATATATTTGAATATTAAGTTTTTTAATTTTTTTTATATTTATTTATTTTCTTCTTAAAAAATGTTCATTTACAAAGCTCTCATCAACGAAAATGCTATGTAATGCGCTATAAAAGTTTAATTTAAATTATTATTGAAACAAAAAAAAAACTTATTTTTCCATAAATTATAGATGGTTAACTTAAATTATAAATACATGAAATCTATTTTTTAAGTTTCACGGTGATATGGATTCTATGTTTGTAAAAACTTGATGGTACATATATCAATTTTCATATTTATATTAAATAGATTTTTATATAAAATAAGCGTTTTGACTAAACTACAAGCACATTATAATATTTAAAATTGGGCCGCCTGAGTCAAATTTCTAGATCCGTCGCTGATTGGGGCATGATGTCGATTAAGGATTGTGAATTATGTGAATTAATTACGTATTGCGTAATACTGGGCGCAATTTTTTTTTTTTAAATAAACATCCCAGATTGGGATGGGGGGTTGAGGCTACACCCCCGACCTGTGAATATAATGGCCCAGCTAGGGCTAAAAAGTCAATGGTCTACATCCAAGTCGGAAATACATAGAGCAACATCAAAAGCAGAGAAAATAAAAATAAAGAATAAAAAATACAAGGATCAAAAAAAAAAAAAAACCGATGTGGATCTAAAATCAAAACCTCATAAAAGGGCGTCTTGGTCAGGGTGACCTGTCATGGAGTCCAAAATGTCAAAACTAGTCAGGGGCAGGTGGTGGCGGTCGACCAAATCTGAAGGATGGGTACTCTAACTGGTCCATCCGAATGAGCGTCCGAAGCCGGAGAGGAATGTCCTCAAGAAGAAGGGTGCGTCTCTGGGGTATAGAAGCCCCCGTGCTAGCAAGGAAATCAGCAGGCCGATTCCCCTCCCGGAATATGTGTGAGACCTGGTAATGGATCGAGCGGAGGGTGTCTCTGAAACGCATAAGAGGATGCTGGATCTGCCATGAGCCCTGGTGGCCAGATGTCAAAAGTGTGATGACAGCCGCAACATCCATCTCTATCCAGACATGAGAGGAGATCGAGGCGGCAATCTCGAGGCCAATCTGGAGCGCCTGAATCTCTACATCATAACTCGAGAAGGCCCAGAGTGGCCCATGGAAGGCAGAGATGAGTGCCCCACCATGATCCCTAATCAGGCCCCCTCCTCCAGCAGCTCCGATATGTCTGTCGAAAGCGCCATCAGTGTTTAGCTTAACCCAAGGGGCCTTGGGTTTCAGCCAAACAACGGTCCTGGGTCGTGGATGCTGGACAGGTAAAGGAGGAGGTGGCCTCAAACGATGGGGCGGTGTACACCCTGTCCAGTCTCTCGTCGTGAGTCTACCCAGGGCGGTGAGGAGAGAGAGGTGTCTGTCAACCTGCAAAATAATGTGAGCACAAGAAAATATAATATCCCTATGCTTCGCATTATTCCTATCTATCCAGGTGGCCCATAGGATCAGACAAGGAATAAGGAAGCCCACGTGTCTACTGTGTGCGGTGTAAGAAAAAACTCAGAAGCTCAAAAAAACTGTCTGTAGTGGGTAGGGGTATATGAGTATATCTGGCATAGTGCTCCCACGCTCTCCTCACAGTCTCACTCTCAAGGAAAAGATGGGTGAATGTCTCGATCTCAAAGGTACCGGTCTCAGCACAACAATGGCAGTGGGAGGGGAAGGAGAACCCTCTCGCCTGCATCACAGTGTTAATGGGAATCCGCTGTAATAGGAGGCGCCACAAAAAGACGAAAATGGCCGGGGTGAGAAGGTCAGTCCATATGGCCCGAAGAGGCGGTTTGGCCGGTTGCCCAGCCTCACTTCTCCCCAGGCTGAAGACGTAGAGAATGCACCCGAAGATGTAAGTCTCCACCTCATGCCATCTAAACCTCCCTCCATAATGGGAATCTGTCGGATCTGGTCAATCTCTAGACTATTAAAACCCCCACCCTCACCAAGAATATCTTGCATCTTATCTCTATCCCAAAACCCTCTCGTCCAAAGGTCCTTCACCTGCATGAAAGGCAGGTGAGTGACAGGCCTAGTACTCGAGAGAGGAGCCTCGCCGAACCACCACTCATCCCAGAAGCTAACCTCCCCAGAACCCAAGGTCCAAAAAATGTGCTCCTGAGCACGCCTGCCAACAATGGTAAGACGTCT